GGAAAGAGCCTATGAAAATGAGTTTAACCGCGTATTTTAATCGCATATTACAAACTCTGCTTAACAATGTCTGCTTAAATGTTTTTTTTTAAGTTAAAAAGAGGTATTATAGATTAGATAGATAGATTTTGGCATAATCTTATTACACGCACTCCAAATGAAAGAACTGTCATTCCACGGCCGATTAGACAGGAGTTTTTTTCTATCACACATTAAGGTTACAAAACTGAAGAGTCTATGGCGCTACAAGGACTTTAATCCGACCCTGTGCTCTATATACAACTGACGTTATCCAGGATAGCTTCGTCATAATTGAAGTACCAAGTAACCTATCCACCACGTACCTCACATGCAGGGCCTATGAAGGAAAAAGTCAACGAGCGGCAAAGACTTTCATTGGCAGGTAAACCAAATCAAAATGCAACCATCAAGAAGTGATAGCGATGCTTCGATAGATTGAATGGGCTGCTTTTTATACGAGCAGATGGGAGCAATAGGAATTTGCCAACCTTGCCGGGAGCCCATATGAGATGTCAGGGTGGGTGCCGGCCTACGGGAAACGGTGGGTATGCTGCCTTGAAGCATTTTAGTTTACAGAAAGTAACGCAACAACATCATAGTCCACACGTGAATGCTTATTTGGAAGCATACAGCATCTACCAAATGTAAAAAAGCGCCTACAGTATCAGTGGCTCGGAGCGAAATAAATGAAACTAGTTCCATGAAAGGGAACGTCCAGTTCCATGAACAGCGCACCAATGCAGCCGCACGAGGCTGATACACGATCACAATCTACATCACACACTTCTTACAGCAGGAGCGACTGAATCAGTAATGAATATAGATTATGAAAGAACCCATCGGGTGGAAAATTCGCAGTAAAACTTATGCGATATGACGAAGATAGAAATAGGGTATAGTTCGAATGTGCGCCTAAATGAACTGTAGCCACAAATGCGCAGCACGAAAAGTAATTATTTTTAATCTATTCACGTCTGCATCATTCACTGCAGCTGTGAAGGAACAATGTACCGGGACGGAAAATGCTAGAATAAAATTCGCATTTATGATTAAAACGATAAACGCATCGTTTCACCCTACACAGCCGGAAATTCACTTGCTTCAATCGCTTTCAGCAATAAGCATCCGCCTTTAATAATTAGAATGTCCGGAGGGATTATTGTTAATTAATTGGCAACGAATATCCTCGAAAATTACATTTATTGTTATAATCATCTCTCTTATTTAAAAAAAAGTCGAGCAGTCCACGACACATTACTGTTCTTAGCAGATCAGATTTCTACTGCTGGTTATAATGCTGTTGCTATAGTTAATGGAAATGAAGAGTATCTCTCACCGGGCGATTACCTCGGCTGTCTCATTAATATTCTAATTAACAGGCAATTAGCACGTGCACGTGACGCTGTGACAATTAATTATTCCAGCAGCATTTGGAGACCCAATCCCGTCATTATGATCATGCCAATTAAAGTTCTCAATTAATATGAACCTTTCAAAATTATAAATCAGGAGGAGAGAACAGGACGAGAAAGAATAG